AGGAAAGATGGGCTGAGACTGTAAGATGGCAGCACAAGGGGAATGGCTTCACCCTGACAGAAAATGGGTTGAGATGAATTTTAGGAAAGAATTCTTCCCTTTGAGGGTGGGCAGGCCCTGGCACAGGGTGCCCAGAGAAGTTGTGGCTGCCCCTGGATCCCTGGAAGTGTCCAGGGCCAGGCTGGAGCACCTGGGATAGTGGAAGTTGTCCCTGTCCACAGCAGGGGGCAGAATAAGATGAGCTTTAAGATCCCTTCCAACCCAAACCAGTCTGGGATTTTGTGTTTCTATGATTTACAGAGGCTGACATCAGTCAGGCTGTGCTCTTCTGCTCCTGCATTCTTGCTCACAAATGTCTGAAAAACAAGTCTGTATCATTCAGGAATAAAAGAAACTCATTACTCACACCACAGCCCGTGGATAGCAAAGCCCCCAGAGACGACTCATTAATCCCATCACAGTCAGTGCCACAAGGCTCACGTTGATCTTTGCAGTGACCACAACTGGCTCCTTCAGAAACCCCAGCATCCTGTCAGAGGTTTGTCTGAACCTTGGAGAGCAGAAGAGAACAGCAGTCACCCTTTGGCTCACAGAAAGCATCAAGCCTGATTTCTGCTACAGGCAGCTCATGGTAATTAAATTCCCAAAATTCTCTTGCTTTTTGTGTTTTTGTGTTTCTATTTTACCTACAGGACTAGTTGTAAAAATAAAGTTACTGAACTGACACACTTTTCCTCTGCCCTGCTTCTGCCTACAGTAGTAAACTAGAAACCTTGTTTATTCTTACACTGGTTATGCAGAAACACAGCAGCTTCATTCTCCAGCCTGTATTCTGCTTTGAGCAAAGCAAACCTCTCAGCCCAAATTCTGATGCTACTATGGTCAATCCATGTGCTCAACCAGATGACCTCACTAACTGAGCTATTTAGAGCCCAGGTAGCTTAAAAAAAAAAACAAACCCTCAAATAAATTACTTCCTTACAAATAGAGGTATTTCTTTGGGATTGGGGAACGGAGGAGCAAATCCCCCAGATGCCCTCTGCATTAGAAATCTGGTTACTGGTGCTGTTACTGGAGCAGAGGTACAGGTGCTGTTTAAGCAGAAGTGCTAAAAGCCAGGTCAGGAAATAGCAGAGAATCCGTGCCGTGCCTCCTCACCTCAACACAACGGAAAGTTACCAGAACAAATCCATCAGCGTGGCTTTGATCGGGGGAGAACAAAGCGAGATGCGAGCACATCACCAGCATCCAGAGCCGTGCCACTGGCCTGGTTTCTCTGTGCCTACAGAACACAAGCGCTGCGTGGAGCTGAGGTTTGCAGGAGCCCCTGGCAGAGCTGCGCTCCCACCCGGGCTCTGTCACCTCCTGGCAGGCCCTGCGAGCCCGGGAGCTCCTGATGGAGGCCCTGCGGTAGCAGCACCACCTCGGGGTACACTCAAACCTCCACACCCCTTATGAGGGGGGAGCAGGGCCAGCGCCCCCCACCCCGCCCTGTGCCCCCTTTAAGCTCTCAGGGGTACCTCAGACCCATCAGGTGGACCTCAGAGGGTCACCGAGCCCCACCACCCCCCCGGATCCATCCTGGATCCTCCCTTAGGTGTTTTTGGGGGCAGAGGAGCACCAACCCCAGCCCCCCCCCAGAGCCTCGTCCACCTCCCTGAGCTCTACGGGGGCGAAGGGAGCGAGTGACCGGCGGGACCGGGAGCACGGCCGGAACCAGCACTAGGACCGGAATTAGGATCGGGACTAGGACTGGGATCGAGTAAGACGGGGATCGTGAGCAGGATCAGGATTAAGACCGGGACCAAGCCCAGAACCGGGATCGGGATCAGAACCGGGACCCCCGGCCCCTCACGGCCCCACATGGCCCTACACGGCCCCTCACGGCCCCACACGGCGCCGGGGGGCGTGGCCTTCCCGCGCGCCGCGCTCCACCCGCCCCTACCTGTCGATACCGGATGTGACGTCAGACGCACGCACCCGCATGGGCGGAACCAGGAAGTATTGCCATGGCAACGGCGCAAGTGGCGAGTGGGCCCGGCCTCCCAGACATGGCGGCTGTGAGGGACCCGCCAGCATCACGGTCACAATCACCGACCCGGCCGCTGGGGCTTGTGTGTTTAGTTCGTTTCTTTTGTCTGGGGCTTTTTAAAAAAATTTTTTTATAGGGGGTGTTAGTTTTGTTTTGTTCTTTTGGTTTTGTTTTGGATTTTTTTTTAATTATTATTATTAACTAAAAGAACCAGACAAGGGAACGGGGAATTTGAGAAAAGCATAATCTGCTTTATTTTTTTAAATTTTTTTTTTATTTAAATAAGGAGAATTCTTTCATATGGAAAGAGCTAATACAATCACATATTTGAAAGGAGAAACAATAGGTACTGAAACGAGGAGAAGGGCAATAAAGAGTGTGCCGCAACTGGCCTGGTGATTCCGTGATTCGAATTCCGGTCCGAGTTAAAGTTTCCAAAAAATATAAACAGGTTGCACGTTACACAATTATCCATCGTCTGCCCTTTCAAATATCTGGTCTACATGAAAAGACAAAGAGAGGAAAGGCCAAAAAAAATTTACTATACAGGTCATGAAGTTAAAAGCTTTAAGGAGGACAGTATCCCCTTGAGAAACAACAAATGCAATTCCTACAGAACCAGAGGGAGGATTCCAGCTAAGGACAATGCCTAAGACATGCTAAGGGGTGAGCGCCTCACTGCTGCAGCTGCGATTCCTGGGGACAGTCAAGGACATCTGGAGCAGCCAGAACAAGCCACTAAACCCAAGGGAGTGTCTATGGCCACTGGAAAACCTGGTGGTCTTTGGATTCAAATAAACAACAAAAATAGCTGGACTCTACTGTCTCTTTTTTTCAGCAAAATGCAACTTTTCTGTCCATGTGCCACAACTAAGCACGCTGGTGGCTTTGTAAATTAAATTTTATTCACAAATGCAACTTTCTTATGAAGAAACTGGGTTGCTGAATAAAAAATAACCAGTGCTACAAGGAATTAACCTGTGCTTAACCAGCCTGGAGCAGAAGGGAGGGTTAAGAAAATGCAACAGAAGGAGGTCCTGGCATGCAACGTGACTGGTGTAGCCAAGAGGTGAGAGATAGCAAAAACACTCAGCTCACCTGGAATACCTATCTCTAAATACACAGAAAGCACAGGGCAGCTTGTGGCTTTGCAGCATTCCTGCCAGGAAGGTGTGGATGGAGTGAGTGGCTCTGTGGGAACACCACACATGGGAGTGCAAGGGCCAGCAAACACATCCAGAGGTGCTGGCACAGCCAGGAGCAAGCTATGGGACATCAACAGCAAGACCTGTGCCACTGGTGACTGTGCTGCTCCTGCTTGTCTTTTAAAATACACTGGAGTGCCTTCTTATTCGCCATTTTTTCTTTTTTCATTTTATTTCCAGACTTCAATGTTGATTTGTTTTTAAATGAAGAGCTACAGCAGAAGGGGTGAGGGCAGCAGCACTGACTGGGGCTGCTGGCCAGGACAGGGCACTGATCACACAGGAGCTTCAGACCCTCTGCTGAACACGAGCAGCACTCAGGCTCTCAGCACTCCTGCTGCAAAGGGGCTCCACCTTTCCCTCCCACAGCACCCTGCACCTTTCCCAGCAGAAGATTTGGTAGCTGACTTCCAGGCAAAGCAAAAGCAACTCACAAATGAGTAAATCAGCAATAAATCAACCCTTCAACAGCGCAGACAGCAAGCAGAAGGACCTTCTGTAACTGTACTGATCCCTTCTGTGCCTCTCCATCCTCCTCTCCACGCTGGATTTTTATCACCATTCCAGCTCCCTTGGCTTTTCTGCTCCTTTGAGGATCAGAGGCTTTTCCTTTTGAACTCCAGAGCACCACAAACTGCACTAACCTTGGACTAGCTTTAAACAAACAAACAAACAAACAAGCAAAAATATATGCCAGAGAAGGATATTGCACCGTAGAAATTTGGGCTCTAAAACTGCTTTCCATCACACAAAACTCCACTAAGTGAGAGAGAGTCTTGCCAACTGCAGCTGACAGTCACGCAAAGTTGAGAAATGGAATGAAGCTCACATGCATTTCTTGGCCTTTCCTGCACAGAATAATTCAGACATAATATATAAATAGAGCAGTGAAACAATTACTTTTTCACCTAGACCTACAACATCAAATACGTATAAATAAATTCTAGTGTTTTATTCTGTTGGGGGAAGGAATGGAGGGATTAAAAGAGAAACAAGGGTGACCTTTTTCAACAGTAAGTTTTGTAGTTCTGATGGCATGTACACCAGAGGGACTGCAGTAACTTGGATCTTGCAATAACCCAGTTTCTCCAACACGTTTGACCATTTTGAAGTCACACAGGTGGGAGGAATGAGGTTAGTGTCTTTGTAAAGCTGAAGTAGTGTGTCTAGAGTAGGGAAGAGATGAGAAGGGCTCAGGTAAGTCTCTTTAGCCATTAGTTAGATTCTGGGCTCGTATTAGCTAGGGCCAGCTGGGCAGAAGGATAATAAAAAAAAAAATCCCAAACAGACAATTCTGCTGTTAATGGTATTTCAAGGGAGAAAATAGAAACAAGGGTGGGATGACTTACTGGAGGTGCAATCTTTGGAAAACACTGGGAGCAGGACTAGCAGATGAGGATGCAGATTTGGGAGATGTCTGAAGGTTGGGGAAATATTTGTCACTAAATCTCAAACCCTGTACTTTAAGGAGGATGCTAGAGAGATGCTGGCACACTCTGCTCTGAAATTAAAATCCATAAAACCTAAGAAAAAAAGAGCTCTTATTTTTTCTTAAAGTACCATCCTATCCCTTTCCCTTCGGGTTCTCTGCCATGTTCCATGGGGACACCTATGGAGAGGGGACATTACTATGCCTAAGTTAGTTTAGGTTTCTAAGCTCTTTAAAGCTACTGTATAAAAATCATATTTATGCCTAGCTTAAAACTTCAAATGCATCCTTACAAAGTTACAAAGGATCTTTTTCCAGAAAGGGCAGAGGGAGGGGGGGAAAAAAGCAAACAAAAAAACAAGAACACCTTTCAGATCCCTTCCCCAATACATTCTTTGTTCAAAATATCTTCTTTGGAACCACCACCAAATGACTTTCTGCCACCCAGCAGAGGCTGATGCACAGCCTGTGAGCAAGCCACCATCTCCAAAAACGGTTCTGTCCCTCACTTCAGAGTGACCAGCCTACTTTACATTTTGAAAGAGCTAAACAACACAAACCAAGTTAGCTGAAAGTAGTTTTTACTTTAGACTACCATCAGGTGAAAGACTCCAAGTCCTTTCAGGAACTTTTAGGTCCATCCTAAAAAAAATCTACGTACACACACGCACACACACACGCACACTCACATAAACCAAAACCAAACTGCCAAAGAAATAAAACCCAACCTCTCCCACTGGGATCTTCCTTGTGTAGATCATCAAATACTGGAGAGGAGTGGTGAGGTGAGGATGCTGTACACACACTATATGCAACTGCATCAGAGTAAAGAACCCTTTGCTGTTCACCTGGGGAAGGAGAGGAGAAGGATTTTTCCAATCTGCCTCTGGAACCATGAGCTTCCAACCCAGACCAGGAGGTTCCAAGTGTGCCTTGCAGAGGGGCTCCCTTACCAACGAATCTCTATGCAAATTTTACAAAAGGCCATGGAATAGAGGAATAGAAAGCAAGACTCAGGGAAAAGAGCAAAGCTTAGGAGAGCAGCCCCGAGGGTGAACACAATATAGGACAAGTCTCAGGAGACACGAAGAATTCGAGCAGCCAAGGCAGGGAGCATGAGAGAGCATCACAACTACAAAAAGTAGTCCATACAGACCCGTTGGCTCTAGCCAACTCTTCTGACCCATGTGCTGTGAGAATTTTTTTCTTCCTAACAAACATTACACTTTGTAAATCTATGATTTACGTTTTGGCGAGTGTTTTGCAGTCACTAAAAAAATCCGAAACGCACAAAAAGGAAAAAATAAACACCTAGATCTGTATGAGCTTGCAACAGAAATCTGGTGGTTTCAGTTTTTTTCCTTAAAATGAAAATGCTAAATTTTGTTGTGCACAAAGCACCCCAAAGCTGTGTTGAAGTGGTGCAAGTTTCAGGATTTATGCATTGATGTACTACATATCTTTAGTACATGTTTCCTCCTACTGCAAGCACTGCCTCTAGCTTAAAACAAAAATACTGAAAAATTAACAGATCATATCTGTCCTGTTTTTTTTAATCAAATAGTCTGAAAGGCTAAATCATCTGGGGAAATACACCCAAACAAACTCGAACTCTCAACATAGCACAGAACCATATACAAAACTAAGCAGAGTTTTGTCAGAACACCATTTTAGCTGAAGGGAATTCTTTTCTGAAAGGAATGAGGAAAGCAGAAAGAAGGGGGGAATGAGAGAACATATAAAAGTTCTGCTATAAACAAAGATACAGCTTTTTTGTAAAAACCTCAGCTGCCTTTAAAATGAAAAACCTCAAACTAAACCCCTCTCCCCCAGTTGCCACTCTGCTGAGACAGAAGTAGGGAAGGAGAAGGACGGGCTTTGCCAAGTGAGCAATCACAGCTACCTGTGGATGGGGCATGGGGAGGGGGGAAAATAAAAAAAAAAAATGGCTAAAGCCACTTAAAAGTCACATGATTGGTTTGTTTTAAAGCAAGCAGGTCAATGTCATATCCACTGTTTCAAACTGCTTTGTTGGGAGAGGGGCTTGAATGATGTTGCTGTAGTCAGTCAGTGTGGGGTGGGGATAGATCTGGTGAGATTTTCAGGAGATCCAGTGGGGTCCAGTCTAAGCTGTGGTGCCTCTCAGGCAGCAGAACCAGGCAGGCATCAGGTGCTCCTAGGCCTTGCTCTCCTCCACTTTGACTGCCTGAGGTTTGATCGCTCCTGTGCGCACTGGCTTCATCTGGTTTGTGGAGGCTGTTTCCTGCAGCTTCACTGCTCCCAGACTGGCTTTGTTATCATCCACCCGCTGCTTTGCCTTGTGACACAAAAACCAAAGCATTAGCTAGGACAGACACCTCTAGGCAGGCAGAACAAGCAAACTGTGACCATCATTCATGCAGGACACTGAATCTGCTCTTGTAACACCTCACATTTAAGGATCTCAGTGTCTCACGTATTTGGCAATGCAAGTAACTTAAAATAATTCCACAGAAGAACTTAATAGAAATTAGTAGAACTAATCTCTCCTGACTTTCAAAGCACAGAATTACTCCTGGACTCAGTGAAACACCCACCTACCCAAGGGAGAACAACTCCCACATGGAGCTTCAGTTACACAGCCCTTTCTGCCTTTTCTCTGCAGCCCAAGGCACAAGCACAACAGTGTAGCAGAGAGATATTTTTGGGCTGTACAAAGAACTCAGGTACACTACCTGCTGGACGTAGTGTCCTTGCACAGAGCCCATGCTCACTGCTGGTCCCGACGGCTTCCCGCTGGGGCTGGCAGAGCTAGGCCTGGAAATCGAAGAGTCGACAACATTCATGGAGTAAATTCTACAATGGAATGAGAGCCTTATTCATGTGTGAAAAAAAAAAAAAAAAGACAGCAAAGCGGCAATAGACAGGGCACGAGTCTGTGCTGTGCAGATCAGTGAGCTCCACAGTCCAAATGACAACACACGGGTCGGTTAGGAGTAAAAAAACAATAAATTAGTCTTGCAAAAGCCTCGATGACCTGATGTGTCTAGACATGAGCACTCACATCTTCAGGACCAAAAACATTTATTCAATGATCCTCAGATTTCCCATCTTCACAAGGAACAAAAGCACACACCAATTCCAACGTGTCTCTGAGATTCAGTGAACAAGGAACTTCATGCACTTCCCACAAAGCACCAGATCAGGAACACACACTGGCCCACACCCAGGATGAAAGCCATGACCATGCATTTAGACACAAGTGCTTGGACTGAGGTGAGCACGTTCTAGACATGAAAAGCCAGGTGATCTCGTGCAGGGATGATGGGTGCACCACGTTTCTCTCCCATCCTAAGGAGCCCGAGCTGTGTGGCGGTCTCACCTGTACGTGTGTGGGGACGGGACTGACCCTCCGGAGGACATGCTCTGTTTACCATCGGAGAAATGAAACCCTTTCATTTCCATCTGGGAGGACTACAGAGGAAAATGAGTGAGAGAAAGTATCATCTTTGCATTCACAGATCACTCATTACTTCATATAAAAACTCAAGCCAAATGTTTGCCCTTCTCCCCATCATGCCCATTTAAAAGAAGAAATATTTTTCAGGTGAAGAAAATGAGGCTTGTAAGTGAAATAATCTGTTTGTATTTAAGCACCAAGCCAGCAGCACAAGCAAATACAGAACCTGGAAGTTAACTGCTGTGCTCTCTCTCCCCTATAGTAAGACAAACTTATGATATGAATCCATCAAACCAGACATGACATTAATATACCTACTCAAATGGACAAGCTTCACAACAGAGTGAAATATCTGGGCAGTATTCCAACTGTGTCTGGAGCTCACCACCCCTCAAGCACTCTGGGGAAACCTGTGTAAACATGTAATAAAACTGGAGACTCCAAACTGGATCAAGGCAGGATGTGGCTCCCTGGAAACAGAATGATGACCAGCAGCAAAAACCTGAAAACTGCCGGCTTGCACTTTGGAGATGAGGGGAAATGGGTTCCTTCATTTTAACAGCAATCCTTGGCTTGGATATTTAAGGATCCCAAACAAGCCATTCTCCCCTTTAAAAAGCAAGGAGTCAAACTTCAACGCAGGAGGGGTTACTGAATGCCATGAGCAGCACCAGGAGTTAATCCTTACCTCCCTGCTGGCAGCAAGAACAGAAGGCTGGGATCCAGGAGGGAGGATTCTTCGGGGAGCTCCTACAGGCAGGTTTTGCCCCTGGGGAAGCTGGATGGACTGTGGCAGAAGCAGGGGCTGCTGGCCAGAGCCGTAGCGGGGCAGAGGCAGCTGGGAGCCAGGCACAGGCATTGTCAGCTGTGTGACAAGGACATGTAGTTACCTTAAAGGCAGTAACAGTCTCGTGTTTGACATGCTGCCTCCCAATACCCTGAAAGCACAGCCTTGCCAAAGGGAAGCTCCCAAACAGCGCGGTCTGGCATGGAATAAACGCAAATGACTGTAACAGAGGGACTTTCACACCGAAATGGATGTTCTGGCAGTGCTGCCAACACTCAGATCAGCTGGGTTTTTAACATGCCATCAAGTTAACCTAACTGCCCGTGGATGGGGGCTGCTCTCCATTCCTACAGCCCAGTTCTCCAGTCTTCCTCATGGTCACTTCATGTGGGTCTGTTTTCCCTTCATACAATGGCAGTGTCAGTGCAGTGTCAGGTGCTTTGTTTTCACCTTTGAAAATCTCCTACACTTTTACACCAAAGCATTCTGAGGACTGGACCTCCAGAGAACGCGATGGAGATCTCAGTTCCATGTTTCACAGTGAGCTTCAAACCAATGATGGATAGAATTAAGAGCAATTACAAAAAAATACTGTAGCTCAGGGCTGAGGCACCCCCTGTTCCCTCTGATTTTCTCACAATTGCTGGATTTGGGAGGTTCTATCAACATTTTAGAATAAATAAATAAACCAATCTAAGGCTGGCAAAAGAAACCAAGTTACTCGCTCATGATGGATAAAGCATTTCTTCAAATATTTCGTTTGCCAGTGTTCTCTGTATTTTCCTCACCTAAGTTACTTTCAGGATTAACTCTTTACGTCAGCCACAACATAAAAATCCCTCTGAAACAAAAAATAAACCTTAACAAGTTGCACAAGATAAACGTAAGATGAGTTTAATAAAATTATCAAATTTCTCCAGAGAATCAGAGCACATGCCCACAAACACAGCTATGGTCACAGTAGAATTCAATGTTTTTATGTGAACCATGCTTTATTAAAACATTTTCACACATTGAAATTCCTGTTAGGAGTCTGCCAAACAGATCAGCTGAAGCTGTAAATAAGACTTGGACGACAAATGAACTGAGAAGACAGATGAGCCTTTAATACAAGTTCCTAGTTGCCCTGGAAGCTGAGGTGCTGGGAGAGATGACTGGGATTTGGCTCTCAGAAGAGGTGCTTTTAGGACAACCATTGCATCATGGCCTCCTAGGCATGCAGCACTGGAAGGTCTGACTTCCAAGTGACAAAATGACGTCTCAGCAGGGACAGACAAGGTATGAGCAACCATCTCATTAAATAAGGTGCTGCATATGTGACACCATGGTTCACTGAACAGTGTCTCGGGGAAATCTTCCGCCTCTTTACAAAGAGTTTAGTTCAGACAGACATGTTACAACCCATCCTCAGAAACATGTGGCTGTGAATTAGCCTGGACCAAAGGAGTGGCTCGCCAGTCCTGCTCCTAACCTGTGTGAGCTGAGAGTCCATCATCTGGGAGGCTCCCATACCAGCCTGGTTTATTTGCCCCTCATAAACCAGTGCCTGGCTTCCGTTCATGGGCTGATAGGGGGACCCAGACTGGGTTTTCACCACCTCCAAGGGCTGCATGCCTGGGAAGGCGGAATATGGAGGCTTCAGAGCAGTGCCTCCTGTCAGGACCATGGTGCTGGGCTGGGACAGACTGGGGTGCATGTACACCTGAGACCTGCAGGAAAAAAACATGCTTCAGTCATGATGCACAAAGCCTTTGGAGACTGTACAAGCACACCCTGCCAAACTGTATCTGGCCTGCCATCAGTTGTCAGACAACTAAACTGACAGCTTAGAAATAAACTGTGATGCCACTTTCCATTTTAGTTACCAGAATTTTTTTACTTCCATTCTTAAGCTTTTACAACCACATCCTTGTGTTGCCAGAATATTCAACAGAACAATGTTGTGTAGTATCTGATATTTATGTTTCAATATCCCACAAAACAACCTGTGCATTAGCAGTTAAGGGAGGATTCAAGTTACCTAAAGTCTGCAGCAGTTTTGCAAAGCAGGAAAAAATCAGAAGTTAAAGATTCCAACAGCTCTAGCAAATAAGAAGGGTTGTTTGTTTAAATCTCAGTGTTTAGACTTTTGAAGCACTAACTACTAATTCAGATTTTTCAGTCTCATGCTCCCTACACTGGCACTGTTATTAGGGGAAGGAAACAGCATTTGAACAAAGGGGAAAGGGAAGATGAGTGTGGGGTATCTGACCAATGTACTCAAACATCAGGAACATAAGAGAGCAATCCACAAGGAAAGGAGAACAGGAAGCAGTTACCTGAAGGGCTGTATGGAGCTGTACATCTCCTGGGACTGGGACACAGGCAGACCACCCCTCAGTCCAAGCTGAGCTTGGGCCTGTAAGGATGTGTGGAGGGAAATGGGAATCTGTTGAGCAGCAGCAGCCTGCAGAAGAAATTAATATGACTGAGAGGTACAAGAGCAGCCAGAAACTCTCCAGGGCTGTTAGAAACCCATCAGTTTCCTGTATGAGTAAATCTGCAGTGACAATTACCTACACTGGGCCCTAACCCAGCCCTGCATCATTCCCCAGAAAGGCAGCACACACTGGGAACACACTGCCCAGGCACCCAGAGGCTGATGCCTGCAAGAGGCATTTGATGGACACGAGGGAAGCAACATGCTCCTCACACAGAGCAGGCAGTGACAATCCCAGCTCTCACCTGCCTGTACTCCATCTTGAAAGGGCCCTCCCCAGCCCTATCAATACCCAATTTACTAATGAAGTTACTCATTATTATTGACTGGCTGGGGAATTCACCAAAAGTCACTTCATCTCACTCAGGCCTCAGCATCTGCTTCAGTTAAAACCAGTCCAAGGGCACTGGTACAGAAGGGGAAAACTCCTCAATTCCCTCCCTTCGGTTCCACTAAACTCTGACACCCACTGCGAAGCAGCATTCAAGGAACTTAAAGGGAGCCACATCTAAGCTCCTTTGGGCTATGAAAGTGAAAAATTACTCCTTGTTTCTTAAGTGCCACCATGAAGAATCCTTGAAACACCACGTGCAAGCTGTGCTGCTCCCTTACCTGTTGGTAGCTCTGCTGCTGAGGTATCGTCTGAGGGACCAGGCGGGGCTGACTTGCAAACACGTGGCCATCCAGGTACAGGGGTGGAATATGGTTACCTGGACATCACAAAAGGCAGGCTGTCAATTCAAGGTACAGGGGAGATACAGCCACAGCAGAGATCTGCAGGTCAAGACTATTTCCCACCTCTCAGCAAGTTAACGCAAATATAGCACCCATTCAGAAGTGTCTGTAAAGCTCCTAAATCCACATACCAACATCAGCAGGAGCAGGATTGCTGAGAATTAATCATACCTTCCTGTCAGAGGCTAAATGTAAACCCAGGTTTCCCACCTCCACAAAAGAGTCAGACACTAGCAGCTCAGAAGTTCATAACCTGTACTCTGAACTAAATGCCAGAAATCTGCTCTGCAATCATCTCATCTTTGCAGCTCAGACAGACAGAAAGAGCAAACACAGTGTTTAAGGCCTTGACACATGAGATCTAAAAGCCACATTCACCCCAAGGGTGGCACCAATTAGCAACTGCTGTGCCACTCCTGTGCTTTTGTGCAGATGTGAACCACAGGATTAAGCAGCAAGATTAGGGTGGGTGAGGAAGGAAATCACCTGATTTGGAACAATCTGTTTACCAAGTGGAAGGTAACAACACAGTCACTACACATTTCATTCTGTTCCTGAACTGAGACATGAGAAAGACAGTGCATACATAAGAAGCCCTTTGGGACCCAGGAGTCATCCCATGGAGAGAATCCCAGTACATTTCCTCTTTCCAGATGCTCTCCCTAATTACACACACTAACATGACTGAGTTAAGCTTTTCCTTTAACTCAAAGGCAGCAACACCTCCCCCTCTCCCAGAGTTCCGTGAGCTGTAAGCCAGTTGCTGTTTTGCTAAAAGCAAAAAGTGCTCAGAACCTGTGGCTTCAAAGGCAAAACAAGCAGAGGAATAGCTGATAATGATATTGGGACTGTTGAAGCCTCTCAGCCAGAGATCTCTTTCCTTCTATTCTACTGGGCACACAGTAAAGGGTAAGCAAGATCTATTGAGACATCAGAGACGACACAGAGGGAAAGCTGTCTTTGTATTAAGCTTTCACCAGTCACATTCTTTAAAGTGGGGAGACAGCACCTCTTTCTGCCTTGCCTGGGCTGTTAAGGATCTGTCAAACACCAGCCAGCCAGTTAATCTACACAGAAGCTGATCTCACCATGCTCTCATCTACCAGAACCAGAGGATGGCTCCCAGATAACAATCAGACATGGAAACGCTGCTGCTGCAGTTTGCAGGTACCTGGAATAGATGCAGAAGGTGCTACAGATGCCACAGGCATGGGAGGCATAGAAACTCCACCAAAAGAGCTGTAGCTGACACCGTTGGAAGCTCCAACACTGGAAGGAGGCTGGATGCCTGAGCCTGCACCTCCTGGGGAGTTCTGTTCTGGTAAACTCGGAGAGTTTTCCCAAGCTTTACGAGCAGACTCCATCTATGGAAACAAAGAACAATAACTACAGACAGTTCAAATGGGGAGGACATGACCAAAGCCCACAGTTGCTCATCTGTGTCCTGTGAGCCCAAATCCCCTGCACTCTAGGCATAGTGGAAAGCTGACAGGTCTGAGGTCAGGGGATTCTACAACAATTTGTAATGAACAAGAATCCTTCACAAATACTCAAATCCCTTGGTATTTGCTGAGCTTCTTGGGTTTGGGATGGAGGTAGGGTTTGGTTTGGTTTATTTGGTTTTGTTGTTCTTGTTTGTACACTTGGGTGGGTTTTGTTTGGTTTTTGCCTCTCTTTACACCACCACGCTTCCCAGGATCCCTGAGCAGCCACCTTGCCCAGTACAGAAATAGGAAAGCTCTGTTGCACTTGATTCTACAACTGGCAAGGACTTCCTGCATTCAGGACTTAAAACACACGACCCTGCACTCATGGTGAACCGCACATATGCACAGCTTTTACAAAAGTTAAATAAAGTTTAGCAATACCTAACAGAATACTCTGGAAAGATTTCCCCACAGAGAAGTGGTATCCACACACCTTCAGAGTGATCTCCCCACAGATGTGGTATCCACACCCCTTCATCTTCCTTACCTTAAGAGTAAGGTCAGCAGTGGGGAAGGACATGGGGTTCAGGCCGATGCAGCGCTGGAGGTGATGATCCCTTCGCAGGATGGGAATGGACTGTGTTAACCCTGCCTGAGGGGAGAGTCATAACAGGTGAATATTTGTGAACTCTCAGGAGAATAGTATGAGCCACCAAGGCTGACAGAGGTGCAGCTGGGCAGCTCCAGTAAGCGCACATCAAAGAATTCAGTCCCCAGTGGTACTGCACAAGCCAAGTGCCACATTCACCTAGGGTCCATTCTGCTCTTGAAATAAAGGAGGCTTTGGTTATGTGCAAAGACACCCCTCTATGCTGAACTGTATCAGCTTCCACTTAACTATCAGTTTGATCCAATAACTTCCATTTGCACAAGAGTTCTCCTTCCTGTCCCATATTTAGAAACGACCTAAGTTTCAGACAAAACTTGTTTCTGAAAAGAAACACCCTATAAGACAAATCTCCAAAATCAAAACCAGACAGCCTACAAACTTGAAGACATTTCAAAAGCAGCTTTGTGTGTGTCTAACATTGCTGTCTACAGCTGAGCTACCAGCTGGGCTTTCAGTGTGCTCACTCTTTCATAAAGAATAATAAAACACCCAGAGGGCTGGAATAAGCTGGGGAACCTCCAAAAAGGTCTGACCACCATGTTACAGTTCTCTGCCTTGCTGTGACAGCTGAAACCTTTGAGGAAGCTGGGCAGTCTGGGTCTAAACATGTCACCACCTGGACCATGGCCATGTCCAATACTTGTGTGTCTCAAGAGAAGAGACTGGCCAGCTCAAAGATGGCTTTACACAGGTCACAATGATAATAAAGTTGCTCTCTACATCATTTCTGTGTTTGTGACACTCACTGTACCACAGTTTCATGAGATTTCCATTTTGGATTTCAGTGACGTGTGCTGCCTAAACATGAAATACGAAGTCAGATGCAGACACACTTCCTCTCTTTGGAAGCATCTGAGGTTTACCTAAGGAGTATCTCCAATGAATCAATGCCAAAAGAAAAAAATACTTACATTACTGGCCAAGGCATCCTGCAATTTGGTGACAGGGTTAGCTGCAGTGCCAGAGGCAGAACCAGGTGGCAAACTGAAGTCAGAGTCCTGAAAAAGCAAAACACATAAAATTTAAATCCAGGTCCATGGGCCACCACTCTGTTTTTCATGGTTAATGACTCTAGCCTGAATTATGACACTACAAACTAAAGACTGATCTCCAGTAAGCCTTGCTGCGAACAGAAAACACTTCTCAGCACTCAGCAGCAGGCAACCCCCGGAGGCACACAAAAGCTTGGCCATGATTTTGTCCCTCACCTCTGCTACCACCCCAGCTGGTCCTTGGGACAGTATTTCCAAGTGGACACTAAATGTTTGCCAGGACATCCTAAGTACCTGGGTCTGCGTCAGTAATGAAATCTAAGGCAAACCTACAGCTGGAGCTTCCTCTAAATAATCCTTCTGCCTCAAACCACTTTTCATCCCTCAACAAGATCAAATCACCAAGAAGATAAAATTAAATTCAATCCTCACTTTAGGATTTACTCCAAATTCAATGGGTGGCACAGGAAGTACAGAATCCACGTGAATTTCCACCCCATTAACAGGGGGAATATTCCCTTCCAGCCGCTCTGTTCCCTCCGAACCCTTTCTGTTTTTCAGGGAGCGTTCGTTGCCGATGGGTCCGGGCTTGTGTTCCTTGTTCTGTCCTGAGCCTTGATCTGAATCCTTAACAGGAAAGCAGAGAGGCTGAGACACAAAGACCAAATAACCCAACCTCAAGCCTTAAAAATGCTATCAAGAACAACACAACCACTTCACGTCTCTCACTCTGCGCTCTGGCTTGGCTGCGAATCCAGATTACCTTTTTATCAGTTTGCTTCTGCACTTGCTCCTTCTGGCAGTCAGGCTTTGAGTCCACCAGGCCAGCCCCATTCATCTCCTCTGGTTTGAGGGTGCCATATGGAGAGCTGCGCTGAGAGGAGGTCGCGGAGGATTCCCGAGACTCCGCGCTCAAGTCAATGCCACTATCCCCCTGGCTGCCTTTAAATCCCTGCTATGCAAAGCACGAAATGTGTTAAAGCCCCGGACTCCGACCCAGCACCACCGAGGAAAAATCATCCCAAAAACCAGCAAGACCACGTCCCTTTGTCAAATCACCATCCTGGTTAACTGCAAAGGAGTTGGGCCTGACCTGCAGCAGCCCTTGGCTGCTCCTTCAGCTCTACACAGCCCTGAGACAGGTGAACTGATGCACCAACCACACCATGGCTTCAGAGTAAGGAAATGTGTCCCACAGAACAACTAGGCTGAGACTGCCAAACTTGCTTCACATGGGACCCAAATCAAATTTGAACTCTTGGTCTCCAGAGATGAAGAGTTCAGGAACTCCTCTGCCCTCCCTGCATTAAGGCTACAGCTACACACTGTCACAGGCAAAAGGCACAAACAGGACCTAAGGGATTCTGCCCTCCTCAACCACAGTGTGCACCCAGTGATGAGCATAACCCTGGAATAGCTCTACCACACAGTTACTCCAGATTTATACCCACACACAACACCAAGCAGGGCTGGCTTGGCTCTTTAGGTCAAGATCTGAACAGCACCAAGCTCAAATTAAAACTGCAAAGAGACGGTTTAAAATGGCACAAGCAGAGCAGAGAGTCACTAAGCACAGATGGAGCAATGAGAAGCATAAAAGCCACCTGCATTAATACTTTATACACACAATACCTTGAAGGGCACCTTAGGAGCCACTTACCTCAGTGCTGGACTCAGTACCATTAAAGGTATTTACAGGCTTGCTCCAGGAATCACTGCCAGGAGACTGAACAGAAAGTGCTGGAAGAGAATGGAGGGCAGGGTTCAGCTGCCTGAAACACAGCTATGAGCACACCCTGTACACATTACACCATCCACCTTCCATTTCTAGACATGAGAAAGGGTATTTTCACCACCTCAGAACATTAAGTGTTGCCCAGATATCTGAGACATGATGCAGCAGAGAACACAGGGTATGAGAAGTGAGAGTAGAGTACAGGGAGGAGATTTCTTAGGGAACATAAGAAGAAGAGAAAGACAGGTCAGAGAGAAACAAGGGAGGCACTATCTGCTCAAGGCTAGAGATGAGAAAATGTAGGAAACCAAAATAAGAAAAAGTAGATCCAGCCCAAGCAGCTAAAAAATGCTGTATTGTAGTAACTTGATGTGAAACAAAGACCCAAGAAGCAGATTAGGAGACTGACATGGCCAGCAACAGGAGCAGGATGGCTGAACAGTAGAGCTTAGAACAGAGGCTACTCCACATGTCTGCCTGCTCCCCTCCCATTCCCAGCATCAGACAGGAGAGGGTTTTCTTCTCTGAACCACAGACCCCCCAGCCTTGCTGCACATCCCAGAGGGCTTCAGCTCTGTGAAACCCTTTGGAATAAACAGACCCAAGCCTACCTGGGCTGTTGCTCTCCCAGATCTCCGTGCCCAGGCTGTTTCCAGACACTGTCACATCACTCTGCTCCAAGCACAGGCTGTTCTGCTTCTTAGCAAATCGTGGAGGAATGCGCGACTGAAGGACGCGGGCCTTGGCTGGTGCCTGTGACAGGAGAGGCACAGGTGTCAGCCTGGGAGGGTCCCCCAGTCTAACAAGGCTGGAAAGAGCTGCCTTTTGAAGTGTGAGGTTTTCTTCTGGCAACAACACAGTCAGAGTGCAAAGTCATCCTGCTCTGCACTGCTCCTGCTGCCCAATATCCCACCAACTACAGCCAGGATCTGGCTTAGAGAGCCAAGCTGCTTTGGATGAAGACCACTCTAGAAACTTAACTCCCAATTAGCAATTCTGCTGCAAGCCAATAGTCAGAAATCAAACTCTCCTTTTCAGACCAGCGGCCCTAAATGCATTTCTGGGGCCCAATACAGGATCTGTACTACTTTGGCACTGTCAACTGTATGTTTTTCTGTTCATACAAACACTTTCTGGGGCCTTGTTTCTCTGACTGCAACGCAAACCATGTAACAGGTCCAACTTTTCTGCCTGCCATTCCTCACCTGAGCAGCCTGCTCCTTCTTCCTTCGCTCCTCTTCCAGCAAGCGACGCTGCTTTTTAGTAAGAACCTCAATGAAGCCTTCCCCTGCCATGGAACCAACTTCATTCTCTTCTGCTGTGCTTGACACCCGATTATCAATGATGGTACCTGAACAAAGCACACAGAGAGAACACAGTGCACATGTGTGTGCATATAAAGCTTTGTAATTGCAGTAATTTAAACAGAGCACTCCAAAGAGGATCCATGCCACAATAAGTTCACCTAACAACATAGCAGCTACATTTAGAAAATAAAATAATGTATGTAGTCTGCTGACATCTAGCAGTCACTTTATCTTACAGGACTTTGCTGTCTCCTCTGTTTCAAGATGAGCACACTTCAGCTGGAGGAGCTGTGTGATAACTCAGGTAATTCTCTTTTCAGAGATACAAATTTCTTGCCTCCCTGCCATTAGCTCAGCCTCAAATTCCCCACTCTGGATCCTTTCTCAACTTCCTTCACACAACATAAATTTCAAGCCTAAAAATACATTAACATCTTAGAGAGAAATACAAAAATATTCTCCCTAAACACAAACTTTCTATAGAAAAAACATTGGAGACCCTGTCAGATCAGGCTGAAAGGTTTGTGTTTAAAATTTAACAACAATTTTACCTTCCAAGTTTTTCTATTTAGATACACAAGAATTTTCCTGTTTCTGGAAACAAATGGAAAAAAGCCCCTAACCTGATAAAAAAAATTACACTGGATTGAATCAGTCTGGCTTTAATCAGTCAGCTATAATATGTTATCCTCCTAAAATAAACAAATGAATCAAGATACTCACTTCCATAACTCAGTTCAAACTGTGACAAGGCCTCTCCCTTCTCACTTGCTCTTTGTGCAGTGGATTTGTGCTCCTTCTCTGGCTTTTTACCTGGCCCCTCAGCACTCTCTGAGTTCACATGGGAGGCCCTATCCAAGCTGTAAATGGAGTGGCTGCTCCCACCACCGGTGTTGCCAAGGCCTCCTCCTTCTTCTGTAGACCTACACAAGAAAGAAGGGAAAGGATTTCGTTTTGTCAGCAGAATGCAAATAGGAGTGACAAGAAGAAAATGAATGGATGTACGTCCACTTCAACATCTGCATATATCACAGATCAGAAAACAACTTTACCTTTTGCTCTTTATCAGGGTCCCATTCTGCTGGCTCTCATATCTGGAAGCTGCTCCCACACCAGTCCTGACAGACTGCTCTGCAAACCCTGCCGGCTCAGCCTTGCGGCTCTGCCTGTCCACCAGCGGCCTCTGGCTTGAGAAGCTCCTCTTTGCCAGCTCCCTCTTCTCTCCCAAGCTCCCAGTGCTGAGGCCACCTTCCAGCTGGCCCTCACTCTCTGGGGCTCCATCTCTTCTGTCCCGCCGCTCGCTGAAGTCGCTGCTCTCAGACGCCGTCTCCCACTCCTCGTTGGCATGGTCTGACGAGTTCTGGTAGGACAGCTCAGGGGAGCGTCTGCCCGAGATGCTGCTCTTCTCTGCAGTGCCCAGTTTGGATCTGCCTGGCCACTGGCTGGGCAGCAGATTTGGGCCTCCCTCCTCGGTGTTCCACTGCCCGACTGATTCCCTCTCCTGCCTGAGGCGTCTGAACCGTGGGGGTTTGTCCTGGCGGGGAGGACGCCGCCTCCTGAAGGGCCTGTTCTCTATGTTCTCCTGATCTGCTGAGTAATCCTCCTGGAAAAAGTGCCTTTTGTCATCCAGATGACTCTCATCAAAAACCCGGCTGGAGAAGGAATCCGTGTGTTTGTAAGAATCCTGAATGTAGTCCCTGTCAGACTGCTGCCTGCTCCCAAAGGTGTCTGATGGAGACGAGTGGCCGTACTCTTGCCACCCTCCTCCCCCACTCCTGCCCTGCCACTGGGTGGGCTCCTTACCCATGAACCCCCTTCTCCCATAGCCAGAGTTGCTCAGTCTCGGTGGCAGTGATCTCCCAAAGGCTCTTGGAGCCCTCATCTTAGGATCCAGGCTATTGTGATCATCTGAATAGATTTTGTTGGACCTCCAAGACTCTTTGAAGTCTCCCTTTTTCAAATCACTGTCCTCCCTGTCCAGCACAGAGCCTTCATTGCTGTTCTCAGAGCCCCTCTGCCGGCGACGCTTGGGGAGCTCCTCATACTCTGAGCCTTCGCTGTGTGTCTCGCTGGCAATCCGGCGCCTTGGCTTGCCCCTGGGGAAATCCTCTGGCTGGTTGAACTCCCGCAGCCCTCGGCCCCGGCTGCTCCTCTGGTTGTTGTTGCTGTTGTAGACCCCCCTGCTGCTCACAACCGTGCCTCGGCCTCTGAAAGTGAACTCTCTGAAGCCTCTCCCTCGCCCACGTCCTTGACCTCTCCCACCAAAGGCTTGCTCCTCATCGATGAAGATCCAGTTGTTTCTTTTTGTGGGAGGGAGATCATTGCTTTCTCTGGATAGTTTGTTCTCCCAGGTTCTTTCTGGCTTCTCTTCTTCTTCCTCCTCTTCTTCTTCCTCCTGGGATTTCTCAGCCTCTCGTGCAAGGCTGGTTTGGGAAGAAGCTTTGTCATCCAGTAGGTAACGCGTGGAGTTCAGCAAGGCAGCAGAGTCATCTGACTCATTTTCCACCTTCTGAACAGCTGCCTTCTCCTTCAGCGGGCGTGAGCTGTCCTCTCCTTCCAGTTTAACCTTCTCCATCTCCTTCTCCTTCTCTTCCACCTTGAGGGCTTTCAGGACTGGTTTTTTAATGGGGCCCGACCGCCGTGTCCTCCCCATTTGCTCCGGGGGCTGCCCGCTGGTGCTGCGGCTCTCAGGAGCCCACTCTGGGGTCTCCTCAGTGGCCTGCTTGGGATTGGCTCCTTCTTTCTTCCAGGGGTCAGCACTGAAGGACTGCTCATCCCGGGGTACTTCTTCAGCAACTTCTGCTGCTGTCTCTGCAGGTTTCTGATGGTGGTTGATATCCCAACCGTTATACTCAGGCTTCTTCTCTGCTTGGATAAAATCAGGCTCCAGAGGTGAGCACCTCAGGTTTGCATGGCGGCTGCCAGCAGGACAGGCTTCCTGCACACTCTCCTGGTGCTGGAACAGGAGATCCTGGCCTATCCTCTGAGAAGAGAGGCAGCTGTCAAAGTCTGCTTGGGCCTTCTTGTCAAAAGCATTCAAATACTCCTCCCCTCTCTCCTCAAAGAGATCTCGCTGAGTGCTCAGACTCTCTGGTCTTCCAGAAGCAGAGTAACTTTCATTCCTGAGAACAAAACAAACAACAAAGGAAAGTCAGGTAATGCAGAGCACAGCACAAATCCAAGGGCCCAGGCTGGATACAAGAGGTGAAAAGAAATAAACTAAGGTTTATGGTAAATCATGAGGCAATTAACCTATAAATACTAAAATGCTGAGCAAAACTGCTGTGATCCCAGGCTGTACTGCCTGGTTTGTTAAATCAATACATGATAAAGTAAAACAGATCCTATGATGAGCAGCAAACTTAAGAAATGAAGGGAGATTTAACCTCCAATGATGTGGAGATCTGAAAACAAAGAATTGGTTTTAGAATGTCTAAAAAAAAGTAGGAAACAAACTAGCAATCATCAGATTTTTTCTGACTCATGTTTTTTTACACCTTTTCATGTAGATGACAAGGCCCGTCTCCCTCCAAACAGGCTCCAAGCTGGTCAGATAGAAAACTTCTGAACAGCTCAATAGCTCTGTGCAAACCAGCTAAAACACTGAGGAGTGTAAGGGTGCTCCCAGATCAGAACCTGGGCCTGTTCACAGACATCTTTCAGGCCAGCTCTACACCTGCTTGTCAGCACATAGCTTACAGCAGCACCTCCCATCCCAGCATGCATGAGGACAGGGGAATCCTGCACTCACCTGGCATGCAGCCCCTCCATGCTCATGTTGTCAGCCTGTTTCTGATGTGACAGGGAGTATCCTTTGCTCTGCAGGGATGTGTAGCTGTCCTGGCCCCACACTGGCACAGGATCCAAGGGAGCAGTTTTCCTCTCTGCCTGCCCTGCCTGACAGTTCTGATCTTCAGACCGACAGCTGCTCCCACTGATGGAGTCCTGCTGAATCATGGGCTTCATAATTCCTGTTCACAACAGAGTTCATGCCATTAGCACCAGGATTTCACAGACAAGAAGAATTTAACAATCTCCTAGCTTGACTCCCCTTCCTTCTCAGGCAGCAGGTGGCTGCAGCCATGGAAACCTCCCTTGTAAAGGGGAGCCTGAGCTTGGAAAATGCACAGCTGGGAAATACACCTGGAGTGATATAGAAGATGACACAGCTCTCAGAGCCCAGCCCACACAGACACTACACAGTGTGGCTTGGGATCAAGTAATGCACCAACTCCAGGGAATGATTTATACATCCTGATGTTTACACTCACACCTCTGAAGATTAGGACAATACAGGAAGGTGCAAAGTGCACAGTTCAGGAACTACAGCGTTTCTCCACCACACTGCCTAAAAGGGGTCTATTAGGATTTCACATTATTGCAGTAACTCCGAAACTCATCCATCTCCTCCAAAAGGCAAGATCAGTGGATCTGCTAATCTTTCCTCCAAGGGGCAAGATCAGTCACATCCACTAAGGTCAGAAAGCAGTCAAGGAATGTGTCCCACTGCAGTGCAGAGACTGGACAGACACATGTCTACATGTCCTCCCTCCCAGTCTCCCACCACTTCCCATTCTCATCCCTAGAGAAGGGATGCCAACAAGAATGCAAAGTCTGAGCAGAGATTAGGACAACACAGCAAATCTCCATGTATGAACCAACTCAACAGCCAAGATAAACCCTGCCAACACCTCACCTGAAGGGTGAAGGGCTGAAGGGTAGAAATCCACGGGGGTGCGGCTGGGGGCCATGCGAGGGTCCATGTAGGACGGCATCATCATCCAGCGGGGGTCGAAGCCGAGCATCTGCGGGTGCGGCGGGTAGAACGTCCTCTGGGGATGGGAGTGGGATGGAGGAGGATACACCTGCTGCTGCCAGTGCTGCATCTTGTACAGCTGCTCCTGCAGGGGACAGGAAGGGCCATTGGACATGGCTGTGCTGCCAGCAATCACACTGAGGTACTGCTCGGCCAAAGGAAAACACGTGCCATCAGCAAAGGATCAATCTCTGATCAGATGGGAGGGTGGGGCAGACAGGGGTAATTCACTCCCAGCTGGGAATGTGGCAGTTGTTATTCTAACACACCACTGTGGGCCAGGCTATGTGGATCACCTTTAAGACCACAATTTGCATCTTCTCAACATGAATGAATACAAGAATGAATGAATACAAGACAGCTTCCTGTGAAACGCCACTTCATAACCGGAACCAAATACTTCAGAAGATGTTACATTTTTCAGGAAATGCATCTCTAATTTATTTAGAGTGTAGATATATTAGTTCCACCCCTGTCAGCTTAAGAGATTAGATAAAAACAACCTAAATCACATTAGAAGAGCTATTAATATTTTACAGTGTTTCCTGGGCATCCTTCAGAGACAGGCTGGCACTTGCAGGTTGCTTCCCCATCTCCCACACAGCCAGTCCACCTTCCCTCAGCTGAGGACTGTCATGATGTTAATTTGACTTGACATTTAACTTTTGCTGAAGGTCCAAAAATAATATATATTTGAAAGGAGTCTGTGTACTGAAGAAAGCTTTCAAACACTAAACAGCTCCAATTAACATCAAATGCATCTACTTACTTGTCATATGTGCCACCCTATTTTTTTGCTAAGCTTACAACAGTGTCAGATACTGTAACTGTTTATTAAAAAAGCTAATCCCCAACTGCAGAGCAAAAGAGACACCTTTAAATCTGAATCTGACACATCATTACAACAAGGAAGGCTCTGATAAATGCAGATTATATCTACATTACCTAGTCCTCTGGTACCATGGAGAAAATATTGCCTACACAATACCATCACTTCTCCATTTTATTCTCTACATGGAGCCACCAAAGCAGCAATACAACCCAGCCAAAACATGCACTGCCTCATACATACTAACATCACAGAGGGTAAGAGAAAATAAAACTTCATGTTCTTCCACTAGTGATGACCTGTGGTATTACCAGCATGACAGCAAAGACATCCAATTCTTTTTAGTTTAAGAGCATCTCTTTTCAAGAGTAACATTAGGCAGCATTTACTGCTGTACATCTGAATCATGAAAATGTCAACTGCTGAGCAATGAGCACGGGGAACATCCATAAAAGAGCAATTACTGAGCAAAAGCCAATTGTGAGCTCTTTGCTAAGATCTGCAGCAGCATTGATGATATCCCATTTCAAGTGGTTATTTTATGAAGAATGGCAATTAACTTTGCATTATCTAAAGCCTGAATACTCTGTCCCTTGGTTTGGCTCTGCTGCCCTACAGAGACTCAGTGCATCTGGCAGCAGAGCTGCACAGCACGTATGGCACATACAGCACTGAAAGGTCAGGCAAGAGCCAAGATGCACAAAGCAGCTCAGCTGATGTCTCAGTGCCCCAGAAGAGTTTTCAATGCAACAAAAATGAAACATTTAAGACCAAACATTTTTACAGTGCAAAGAAAACAATGGTCTCAAAGAGCCTCACAGGAAAAAAAAGAAAATCTAAGTAGGTATTAGATGAGAGCTGAGCAAAGGACCAGCCCTCTGCAAAGGCAGGAGGTGGAATGAGAAGTGTGCCACTCCAGAGCTCCCTCTAAGTCCAGAAGCAGCCCAGGAACTTGCCAAACTAAGCACAGTTTGCCCCTGGCAAGCAAATGGCTGCCCATACCTACAATGGTAAGGACTCAGCAAGTGCTGAGTGAAATGGAAGCAGCTGAACCCCAAGGGTTTCCCCTTCACCTGTCTTGTGTATTCAGGCACTGCAGCAGTGCTGAAGAACAGCAGCTCATCTTGTGCCACAGAGTAAAAAGAGATGTCCATCAGGTTCAAGGCTAGCCCAAAAAACAGAACCTCCCCTGGGCCTACACAAGCACCAAGACAGCCACTCATGGTTTGGATGTGGGAATATCCACAGCTTCTCCTGCTCATGAACATTTGCAAACCAGAGTTCTGCCACAAGCCACACAGTCCTAAGAGTTCCAATTGTCAGGAGATGCCCAGACAACCATGCAAGACAAGTCAACATTTCTGACAGCACTGTATTTTTCTCCCAGGCAAGTGACAAACCTGGCAGAGCTCTACCCACAACGGCTCGAGCATCACAGGGAGCAAGGAAAACTCATATAGCCCACAGAGAGCATCTCTACGCAATCAGACAGGGTATTTCCATGATCAGAAGTACTGAAAAAGGCCAGGGTAAAACCCCATTGATCTCCTCCCAGCCCAAAGACAGATGGTGTTGAGAACTGAGCAAACACAATGGTTTAGTGGGGGTCCAGACAATGGGTTGTGAGCCATTTACCTGCTGCTGTTGCTGCTGCTGCCTCTGGAATCGTGGGGGAAGAGACTTCTGGTATTTGTTGAATTCTTGTGCTGGTGAGGGAGCTTCTCTGAGCTCCTCCTCACTGCTGCTTTGGGCTGCTGCTGCTGCTGGAGCAGGACTCTCCTCTTCCAGATAGCCAACAGAGGCATCCTGTGTGTGAAACTCAGGGGTTGCTGCAGAGAAGAAAACAATCCTTCAAGAACCTGTTCATGACAGAGCTGGAAGTGCATCACCACCACCACACAACCAGCTGTGGGCATGTCCTGACTGCAATACATGGCTGAACCTTACCATAAGCATATACAGCACATCCTTTACTTTGACAGCCCTAAAGAGGGTTTTGTCCATCTTATTTTAATTATAAATTCTGAGATACTCCTTTACTATCAGCCTTCTGCTTAGGCACTGGGGAGAAAGTCCTTTTCCCCATTAGTCCTCAAATCTGGCAGCATTTACTCTTTTCTGATCTATGGTTATGAGCACTTAATATTATCATGCAATCATGAGAAGCCCATGAGGCCCATTCCAACCAGCCCTCTGCTAGCACAGCTCACTGAGCACAGATGAAGGCAACTGAAGAAGTTTGCATTTGTTTTAATACCTTTTTTAATTTAATCAACCTTTGTCAACAACGCAAAATACTCTGCAGAATACAAGCAGCAGCTGATCTCTCAAGGGCAGCTGAAGGACCCTCTGAACACTCCCTCCCAGGAACTCCCCCACTCCAACTAAAATATCAGCACTATAGCAAAAAAAGCAATTTTTACAGGGTGAGGCAGGCAGTGTTTCTGTACCTTTACGGAAAGCATGGCCATTCTCTTGTGTAGTGTTTTTCTCTGTGCTGGGAGGTCGCACATCCTCATTCTCTGTGTGTTTCTGTGTCTCCCCATTCTTCTGAGCCAGTTTGCATTTCTGATCAAGCTGCTTGAGCTTTGCAGCACAGGCTGCCAGGCGCTCCTCCCTGGCTCGCCGCTCCTCCTCCTCCCGTCGCTTCCTGGCTCTCTCGACAGCCTCAGAGATCTCAGAGTGCACAAACTTCTGTCTCACAGGCACCTTTTCTTCTTTATCCTCTATGGACTGCTGTCTGAGAACACTTCCCAGTGCAGGCTTCTGCCAGAGAAAAAACATTCCTCCGTAAGTGTGACCCAACCAGTGCCTCTATCCTGAGATCTGCATCCCATGGTGACAATTTCCCCTTCTGACTCCCTCCTCTCTATCCTCAAGCACAAATACCCCAGTTACTGGGAAGGGTTATTGTTATTTGGTTCAGTAACTCCACTTTCTCACTGACAACACCACTGTTCTGGACCAGCTTCAAGTTCTTTTCCCTAGTGGAAGTGCTATGCAGATAGATTTCTCTCCAGGTGGATATAAACTAAGAATAGAGAAATTCATCAGCATCCCATTTCCAACAAAATGTCAAATTAGCCTCTTAAGGACAGTGATGGGCTTCCAGCTCACCCTCATGAGTTCAACCTACCTGGTATTCTGAGGCAGAGCTCCAGCCATTCAGCTTCCTTGGAGGCTGCTGTGGATCCTGTGCTTTCCGGACTGGCCGGGACAAGCCAGCTGAATCATTCCAATTCTTTCCCTCCTCCAAGGTGTGCTTGACATCTGTACTGTCTGCAGAGCTCAGGGACAACTGTCGCTGCCTTCTGGGATCCCAGCTGTTCCTGTCACATAAACAGCTTTATTACTGCATTTGCTACTTGCTTTAAAAAGCACTTGGAGTCTAATCAAGTGGCAAAGGCAACTGACTCTAATAAAAAGGAAAGATCACAAAAAAACACCAGAACAAGTGATGTGCTTCTCCGAAGGTACATAAAGATCAATTCCACTATTGTGCAGCAGATAAAGGTGAGAAAAGAGGAGAAAAAAGCCTGGCAAACTGGAAGTCAGCTGCTAGACCTACACAAAAGCCTTGAAGACCACTCAAACACTGCCCAGTAAAATCAATGAAGTCACAGTAAGAAATCAGAGGGATCAAGACTCCACATTTAGAACAAGTTTTTAAAGATCCTGGTATTGCTCACTTTTACTAAAGGTCAATTGTAGGGCCAAACACAGTGACTTCTTACCACTTCTGTCGTCCATCTTTAAGAGTTTCTTCCTCTTCTTCATCTTCACTAAACTTCAGTTTCTCAGAATAATCCACTTCATCATGAATGCCTACAAAGGCAGCAAAGGGAGAACAGATTTATGAGAGAAGAAAAATAGGTCCCTTGTCCTGATAAAGCTTATGCCCCCCCTTTAGCACTAAATTACAGGACACACAGCCTTGGCATGAACTATTCACAAAGCCAAATGTCCAGCCCTGGTCCTGCAAACCACAGAATAGCTTGGGTTGGAAGCGACCTTTAATGTCATCTACCAACCTCCCTCAAAGAGCAGGGATAACTCCAGCTAGATTAGACAAGAAATTATGTGAGCAGTGTGGACACACACTAGTGAACAGCTGGACTGGTCCCAGAGGAGGAGCAGCAAACAACCTGGGAGTGGGGGCTGCACATGAGAGGGCAGTTGCCAAGCCAGACTCTGTGCAATTGGATACTGAATGCCATGACTGAAAAGGCAGGACTAACTCTCCTTCCCAGCACCCACAGTCCCATCCCTCCTGCTGTGCTTGGTGTTTTCAGATTTTAGGAGTCTTCAGATCCAGTTCCTTGAGCACAATATGACGGAAGGATCAGAAGGATCCATTGTGTCATCATTTACACCAATTTCACAACTACACAAAGCCAGAGCAGGAAGGCACTTTACCTGCCCATCCATCATCTGCATCATTGTCCAGCTCATCCAGCCCCTTCAGGTTCTCTGCATTGATGATGGTGGGCCGGGGCACTCGCTCCAGCTGCTGCCGAACTGGGCGCGTTGGGCGAGACAGGCTGGGCCTGTTCTCTTTTCTGTAGGGAAACACAGAACTGGTCACAAACAGCAAAAAGAAAATTAAAGAATGCAGAGCTGAGTTTGTAACACCAAATCTCTCCTTTTCTACTATGCACTTATATACAATGCATCCAAGTTTCTCTCCCTGTCCAGCAGTTTCTTCCCCTTGTCTACCTGGTACCCACTTGCTAGAACTTACAGATCAGAGCTGCAACCCCTCCAGTCTAGGATCACACCCCAATTCCCATGTCTGCCTGCTCTTCAGACACACAGTGCTCATAGTCTTGCTGTTCTAGTTGGAGAAAAGCACTCCTGCTTTGGGTAAAAAACAGGGTTCCCCCTTTAGTACCTGCAGCTTCACACATGCAACCACATCCTTGGCCCAAATTCTTGCCTGGTTTAAGGTTCATGTCACACCCTGAACCTGCCTCTCCAGTGGGAAAGTGATGGCAGCCTTACCCATCCTGGTCATTCATCTGGAATTGTCTGAAAGGTACCCGGGGCTCAAGCCGAAGCTGAGGAACGGGGAAAGACCCTCGTTCCAGCGGTGCAGGGGTCTCAGATGGCTGCTGTGGACACATCTGGAATGAGACAAAGCAGAACAGTCTGGTTTTAATCCTTGCCACAGGAAGGTTTACCCAGATTAGGTGACAACATGTGCAAGGCAGCTGCACCCACACAAAAGGGAAACAAACATTTCACATCTGGCTGGCTCCCTCTCCAGCTCCAGAGGGAAAGGGACAACTGGACAACTTCTCCTTAGGCTGAGCAAGGCTATGCTACACAAACTAAAAACATGTCAATAGAAGGATCCTTGAGCAAGCCCTGGCAGCCAACTGAGAGTCCACAAAACACATCCCAGCTGCCTTCAATTCCCCCTTATCTTAAGAATGAAGGGCATCACAACAGTGTGGAGAAAGGGTGACTCACAAAAGCAGGCAGCATGTCATGGTAGGTGGGTGGCTGGTAGACATTTCCCATGAACTGCGAGGCCCCTTTGCGGAGGGGCTGGGCTGGGCGGAGAGACGGCTCCTTGGCATCGCTGGCGCTGGCTGAGGAGGGGGCCCCGTCTCCAGAGCTGGGGGTTTTGCTGCCCAGCTCAGCAGGGGAGGCGGTCAGAGATGTGGCAGAGGTGACGTTCCTCCCACCGCCCTCCCTCCAACTGGTGACATCTGGAAAGGAGGTCATTATTATGTTAATGTTTGTAAATGCAGGCAGCCACTCTGCCAGAAAGTCTCGAAAGCTCAAGTACTCTGGTCAAGACCTAATTACCCCAATGTTGTAGAAAAATATCAAGGATCAAGAAGAATTTCCAACTGTGTTTATTTTCTTAAGAGAGGAGCAGCTTCAGCTGTTACTAAGTAATTGCTGCACCAGTGGTGTCCTTATTTGCCAATAAACCTGAACTCCTATCAGAGTGTTCCCCATCTCCACAGTCCTTACCCTGCAGAATTAAGGCCAATTAGATGCAAAAACAGTGAAAGAGAAGCCACATTACACCACACACTGATTTCACTGTGGCTCCCCCAGCCCGGGAAGGGGTCTGCTTTGCAACATCACACAGCAATTTTATTTAACAGTGTAGTAGATGACAGTCCATACTTGGCTGTCTGGACCACAGAACATCAGCATCACATGCCAATGTGTGCTCATCCGCTAAGCAGCCTGACACGTGTAAGGTCATAAAAAGGAAATGTAAGGATGAAGTTCTTGGTACAAAACAGGGTCAGTGGGGTTACTGGGCAGACAGACAGACAGACACAATCTTTCACTCACTCTGGGGGCGGAGGCTTGGTCCTGGCCCATACGACGGATCTAAGGCGCCCTTTTCTTTGCCAACCTTGTCCTGCTCGCCAGCTGCTTTCAGCGTCGGAAATTCCTCGGGAGAGAAGGATAACAGTCGGCTTGAGGCCCTTGAACCTGTCAGACAAATAAGTGCGGCACTCAGAGAAGATCTTTCCACTGCTTCAACTCCCTGATGAGATCAGCCTGGAAATGTGTTTGCTGGGAATCTGGGCCTCTGGCACATTTAAACCCAAATTACTACAGTACCAGCACCTCACTTCACATCCCCAACACTCTCAGACACCGTCACCAACACGACAACACGTGTCCTCACCCAGCACTCCCACACTCAGGATCTTCATTTAAATTCTCACATTCAACAAAGTCAGTGAACTTTCTCAGCTTCCAATTATTTTTGGGAAGTACAGAATTCAGACAGAGGCAGAGATTTAAATTCTGCAAGATTGCTCATAAATGATACCCTGCTATCAGGTATTTGACATCTCTATTCAGACTCTTTTTGCTCAGACCTCACTCTGCCAGGGAAGTCTATTGTTAAAATGTCTGTTGATCAGTGAAACACCACAGGGTAAGGGCAGATGTTCTGTGCTCTCCTCCCTGCTGCAGCATTTTCAAGATGCAGATCACTGGCCAGATCAGGTCAGGTTCATTTCTAGTCACTGGCAAATTGTCCTGCTGAGTCATCTGTCACTCCAGAACAACAGCTCTGTCAATTCTAAAGATCTGCCAGTGACTGGAACAACGAAACACAGCAATTCTCCTAAATCTGTTGGCAAGATAACACTGAATAAAAGGAAATTACAAGCATTATTGTACTATTACACATTAAAAGAACTGCTTTTTTGAGAACTGTTTCTTAGTGTTACTTGGCTAAAAAGCTCTCTTAAAAAGGGCATTTCAGAATTATATTAGAATTAACAGCCATGAGTACTGAAGACTTGACAAGAGTCTCATCTACTTTTCTCCTTCCTTGCCCTGAAGAATCAAGACAGACTGGCTTAAGTAATTTTCATTTTTTTCCAGTTTTCTGGAACTTGCACACTGCACAAGACCTCCCATGTGGAATTTCCAGGAAAGACTCTGCAACAGCTGCACAAAACACTTTGAATTTTAGACAGATGAAAATGCTTGAGAAGGACATTGCCTAATTTATTGCAATGTAGCTAAGACTTGCTGAAGAGTTCTGACTTTCAGTGAACTAAAATGGCACAGGTATGTGTCCTTCAGGGGAGACATCTACCCCCAGGTAAGGCTGCACCATTTAAGGACTATTTATGTGCAGCCATTAGGAATTTGTACTCTAACCCTAAGCAGCACCACACTGAAAAAAAGTTGGGTTCCCCTTTTATTTCTCAAAATGTTCTTTATACAAAGACACAGGCATGGAGAAGTTCACAATTAATTTATTAGGCCACTTTTCTTCAGGATACACCCTCCAAAAGAGATTTTACAGCCCTAAGACTTAAAAAGAGCAAGAAGCAAGAGATTCTCCTCTTTGTCTGTAATACCTGAATTAGCTATGAAGGAAAAGCAATTCTTCAGTGCCACTAGAGAAGAGGTGCAAGCATGAGATGGCCTAAGAAATCCTTCAGACAGATTTCTGATGCTTCTGCAATTCAATTACCTTCTAATTAAGCTGCTCTTAGCCACATAGGCAACTGTTTTCTTGGGTTGAGAACTCTACATTGTTAAGTGTGATCTAAAATGAGTTTTCAAAAAATTCTTTAAGAACATTGTTAGATGATCAGATTTCAAAATGACTGCACAGGAGGTCTACACAGAAAGAGTCAAAAATACTTTTTTAATTAATAAACAAGACAATCTTTGCACTGGCCACCAGCCTTCAGGTAAGTACAAGTTTCTGCTTTAACATTTAGCCTTTGAGAAACACCCTCTCATTAAGGGCCTCATTTAATTTAGGATAAATTTGTCCCCTCCGTTTGTGCAATCAGCAGCTGTCTGTTCTTTCCAATATCTCTGCAATTTCACTTGACAAGTGAATGGTTTCAGGTCTGCTCACATTATAACAGTGGAACTGAGCTGTTATTCTCACGATGGTTTTAATGGCACTACTCAGTGCAGCTGGAAGCCACCTCCTGTGTGGAAATGGATGCATCTGAACACAACTAAACTCCCAATTCATGTTAACACTGCTTCAGCATTCTCAGTCAGGCAGAAGCCATTAGCAGCACAGTTACTGAGGGACACTTTAACAGCAAGGCCTCAGCCAGTGTGTAGGTGAGTGCACCCTGCAGCAGCTCCACTGCCACTTCCACCCACTGCAGCTCCCTTGGATCACAGATCCTGTACAGGAACACTCCAGCCTCACTCCTGACTACCCAGTTAGGTGAAGATCCCCTTGCTACTGCCCATGGAGATACCTACATTTCCCCTCTCCAATGCCCCTTTCTTCTTCTCCTCTAAACCAGTCCTCCCCTGTTTCACAGTGATTACTGCACCTTTGTTACACACTGCTCTGGGCTGACTAAGATATTCATGATGGGGGCAAATGTTCCCTTTCTCCTTCAGAACCTTCCCATCCCAGATCTCCCTGCTGCATCTCCAAGAGCATGACTTGCTCTGGGGTTCAATGTGGCCATGAGACACATTCTGTTCAAGCCATGTCTTGCACTGGCAGCCCTGAACTGACTCAGCTGTATCATTCCAATCAACACAGCACACAGACTGGAAACAGGACTCACAAGGCCTCACTCCCATTCAGCACCAGGCCAGGAAGAAATGGAGCCCACCCCATCTCATGTCTGTCTGGGAAAAGCAGGCACATACCAGATCTGTTTATCATACTCACCACCTTCTTGTCCTGCTGGCTTTCCATTCAGCTGTGCCCATGACTTTGGTCCACCTGGCACTGAATTTGTACTCTGAAAACAAAACAAAGCAAAAAGAAACCCCAACATGGATCAGTTAAGATTCATGACTGTTTCTCACTTCCTGGTTGGCACCTGCTATGGTTCAGGCTTCCAGATCACCCAGATACCACAGGTCTCCACAGCTTCAAGGTGGGACTGCAGTCAGCTGTTCCCCACTCCAGTGTACTACAATGCTACGATAAAAATCCTCTGCTCTGCCCTAATGTCTCCTCTGCCCATTTTCACCAACTATTCCCTCAACTTGTACTGTCATCAAGCTGTCCTTTTGTTCTGCTGCATTTTCCTAAATGTTCTCAAAATTCCAGATTTGTTCCATGCTACAGCTCAGCTTGAAGGCTACTCTACTTTCTTGTGCATTAACCACTCTTCTCCTCTTCAAAACATAACTTCTGTCCTGACTTCCCTGAAGCTCAAGGGCTGGGAATTTTTTTTAAACCAGAAGTGTGAAATCTACAACACACAGGGAGTCAGGTCCTTGCACTCTCTGGGACACCTTCTTAGTTGCCAGTAGCTTTTTCAGGTCCAACACTGGCTACTTCTCCCACATGACCAGATCTCTTCCCATCAAGTCTCATCAGGCTGGGAGCAAGAGCTGGATCTGTTGTCACCAAGCAATGTTTGAACTACAACCAAACTAGAATAGTTTAGAAGTGCTAACCAGCCATTCCACATTCCAGCCATTTTTTTTTAGACTGCAACTAGATTTACTGCACGCATTTGAGAAATATAATTCTGTGTATTTTACTTCTGTAACTGCAGCACAACGCTGCTGGTGCACAGCAGCTTGGACACAAGAGAGTCACTTCCACTATAACTGATTATACAGGAGCTTTTTCTTAAGAGCAAGGCAATGCAGGCAATTAAAGTGCTCAAGCTGCCTGGGGACAGGGGAAGCAGGGTGGCAGTCAGAGACTGCTGGCACTTACCTCCTGACTGATTGACTGTGTCGGTTTCTGTAAATTGGAGACAGATTTCTGCAAACCCTGCTGCGGCAGCGACTCCTGCAGCTGTGCAGCCGTCGCACTGGAACTGAGCACAGACAGCAGAGGTGAGACCAGAGGGGAGGAAGGCAGGAAAACAACTCCACATTGGCACAGACAACAGAGAGGTGATCCCTGTAAGGTCTGACACCAGGCACAGCAGTGCACAACCACTGCTGCCTGCCTGCCAAAACTCAAAGATTCACTCTACCCACCTCTTTTGGTCTGGCTGATCCTGCTTGTTTGCCCATCCTGTACCGTCCTTGGGTACTATAATGATGTTGGGGTCGTTTCCTTTGTTCTCAGACTTCAAGCTAGGCAAATTTGCAGGAGGTGGCATGCGCCGGGCAGCAGCAACTTTCCCAAGACTCTGTAAGCCATGTCTAGGAATAACTGGTGAGAAAGGAACAGCAGCAGGTCAGAGGGCGGTATCCTGCTAGATAAGTAACCTTAATTAGGAAGCTGTGGCTGGGCACAGCCCCAGCAGAAGTGCTGCTGCTATGTCAACACACAGGTTGTTTCCCACAGGACCACAGATGCAGCCTTCTGTTGGAGCAGCTGGCAAACAGCTCCTACAGTGGGAGGGAGAAAAATCATTCTCCCCAACAAAGTGCTCACAGAACTCTTCAGGAGGATTTACACAGGTAGCCCTTTCATTTCACCAAGGAGAAGCAGCACCACCTTTTTATAGCTTTGGGTAATGGCCACTCAAATCCAACTTTTAGCAGACAAACAGGTCACCTAACCCAGGAATCCTGAGGTCTCCATTTTCCAGCTCTATCTGCCAGACCACATTTATTAAGAAAGTATTTTTTGTTTTCTATTCTCACACCAAATCCAGAGCCAGTCCAGGCAAGGTTATTTTTTTGAACCCACTATCTACTTTTGATCATATTTCCATTGCAAAACCAACTCAGGTTCTTTCTCAGTGGCCTCCAGCCCTTGACTCTCACCTCACACAAGGTCTGACCAGCTTAAGGCACTTCAGTCAGCTCAGGTGGCCTGCCCTGGCACAGCCTAAGGCCCTGGTAAGGCCTCCACTCAAGTTTGCTACCTGCCCACTCTGCAGAAGGCTAAATAAAAGGGCCAAGAGTCCCCATTTGTCCTGTGTAATTCCTCTATGTCTCCACAATATAAGAGCCATGGAGATTTCCCTCTAGATCTTAATGAAACACAGGCTTTGACACCTGCACCAACAGTGCAACCCAGCTGTGTCCCACTGAGTCAACACCCTGAATGAGCTCTGCAACAACACTGTTGGAAAACATCAAAAGGAGCTTTCTGTTTCTTACCTGTAGTTCTGATAGCTTCTATTGACTTTCCTTTATACTTATCAAACAGGCTGAGAGTCGAGTACTTGCTTTTCCCATCCTTTCCCTTGGTTATTTGCCCCAAACGATCGGACATTGCGATGAAATGTCATCTAGTAAGGAAATTGCTCTGCGCCGCTCCCGATCTGCCTTTGAATGGAAGAGAACAGGAAAACCCCATCAAATGCATTGTTCAGTCATGCAAAACATACAACATACACACAACAGCAAGAACTGAACATACAAGTGAGCACACACGCCAAGATACAAGTTTTAACTCCCTCCTCTTTAGTCACAAGAAGCTTTTGGGCTTTAAGATTCACAAATTGAATGAAAAGAACTGCAGGAATACACCTCTCATTGCATCTTTTTTCTGCCACTCTAGTGCTGAAAGAAGGGAGATTCTTTAAGTATGAGAACACAAGGGGAGGGTCAACAAGTCCTTGCTTTAAAAGAGTAAGGCTGACAACAAACAGCTAAACACAAGGATTCCTAAACATAAATGCCAGGAAAGCACTGTATCTTTGTATCTTATACCACACTAGAATTTAACATTGCATTTCCCCTGAAGCACTGGGTTTGTAATGTTTAGATTATGGTTCCACACTGGCCACAGTTATACCAGCAATTAATGCTTTGACAGCATCACTGGAAGACAACAGAACTATTTCTCCAAATCCCATTTTCTCATCAGCTGGCCATGAAAGAGAGTTATGGAGGCAGAAAAAACCTCCTCAACTGTACCAGATTCAGATTCTTGAGCCTGTGAGTGCAGCTGTTCTACTACGAATTCTCCAAACACATTACCAAAAAATTATATTCTTCTGTTGCTAGCATCTTGAACATAATTTTTAGCTTGAAATGTACTTTCTGTAATGGATGTGGTTTGTTAATTTTTCAATCTGATCTTTGCCTGCATGATGGGTGTTACACACAGCATGTTGTGCCAGCAGTCTCCTTACTTTGACTTTTTGGCTCTTGGAGCCTGGGATAAAGTTGAACATACAGTACTCACACTGAACATCAAAAGCTGATGTCAAAAAAGACACTTTGCTTACTTTCAATGGACCTTATCTTATATTTTTTAAAGCATCATTCTGTTCTAAATTTTCTCAAATCTAGGAGCTTCATCTAACCTTTTCTCACATAATTTAGATTTACAGATTTTTTGTTGTAAAGCCTCTATATCAAGCCCAAAACTGCTGGCAGTTTCATTTCACCATCTGTTAGGGTAAAATGAAACCATTCTAGGGTTTCAACTCTGTGTTGGGAGTAACAAAACACTATATACATGTGTGTGTGTGTATATATATACACATATCTCTGATCTTCCCACACCTCACACTTTCTGAAACTCACCCAGCTGAAAGCCTTTTCCAACAGAGACAGCAATCACTCTTTCTGAAAGAAACTGTAACTGACCAAAGGCTACAACTCCCATCAGCAATGCCTTATCAAACACGATTTGCAGGTAAGAGGATTAGTCCATCACACATTATGTACAAATTAAAGCACAGGCTGTGAACATGCTGGACAGAGCCAGACTGGGAATGCAGTGCCAGCTGCAACTGGCCCAGTAAAGCCCATCCAAAGCTGCTGCTGGGGCAGGTGTCTGACCAATAAGCCTGGCACTACACAGCATTTGTTCTTGCACGGCAGGATTTAAACCACGTCTGTCAGGAGCACGAAGTCATGGACTGTGCTAGGTGCTTAGGGAGAGAGAAAGAAAAGTGGATGCACAGAATGCTCAGGAAAAACAGCCCAAGAAGCCCCTCACATCATTTCTGGACCATCACATGGGGCTGCAGCATGAAGGCTTTGTGGGGGCAAGAGGGCTGGCTGGCAGCCTTGAGGCACCTCTTCCTGCAGAGCAGCAAACAGATCTTTGGCTCCAGTCTGGCCCATCTTTGCTCAGATGGCCACTATGTGCCAAAGAAAACAACAGCTCCTCCCTCACTTGCCCATTTGCACTGTATTTTATTAGTAGGACAGACATAAAAGAGAGGGAGAAAACACACTGATTAGCATACACTTGGCAGGAAAGCACAAGTTGGACTGAGAACAATGAGCTTTTTGAAGGGGCAGAGCTGTGGGGAGCCCCAGAGCAGAACAAAGAGCAGAGGGTGCTGTGCTGGCAAGAGCACAACCACCTGCTTTTGCAGGTATATTGAGCCTGGCTCACAGCCTATCCACACCATGTCAACCCTGCACCAACCTCACAATAAAAGCAGTAAAATCTACTCTGAAGTTTAGAAAGCTCAAACCAGACAAAATTAGAAGGTGTTTAAAAATAACCCAACAACAACAAACCAGCTACTCAGATCAGATTGAGGAGTTATCTGGTTAACAGAAAAGCCATGAGTTCCTGAAAGCCAGTGTGCAAACAGCACACAGGGCAATGCTGCCAAAGAGAAACCCTGACAACAGTTATGTAAGCAGGTCTCAGCTGCCTCTTGATTACATCTTCTATCATTAAAAAGATTCAGGAAGAATAAACAACCACTGCACAGCAGAGGAGCTGCGGACACGTGGGATAAAGCCCCTTGTCAAACTTCCTGGGACAGACAAGCTGGATAAATGAAATTTACTTTCAACTCCTTCAATGCTCTGAAGATGTGAAACACAGCTTTGCTCATGTGTTATGTGTGTGCTCCAAAGGGGAAAAGGAGACCATGGAGAGGTGAAGCAATTTCCACAGTCACTGTGCAAAGAGGTTGCAGCAGCACTGAGCTGGGTCAGAGCTGCTGGACTGGCAGGACCTTGCTGCCTGTCCCTCCTGCAGATCCCTGCCCCTCCAAGGGTGTTATCAGCCAGGGAGGTCACTCAGCACCCAGCTCACCCACAGCACTTCAAAGAGGCCACAGAGCCTCCCAAGGCTGGCACAACACTGCACTATCTCCCCATCACACAGTTAAGCAGGGAATCCAGGTAGGGATCATAAAGACCTTCCAGTCTTGAAGAGCAAAGCCATTTCTGATAAAGATCGTGGTTCATTTAGAACTGAACTGCCAGCCTGCATGCTCATTATTAGCAGAGCTGGAACTAGAAGGCTCATGCTGATGCTGACAAGTGAAAACTGACAGCCTCGGCAGAGCCTCTGACCTGTGCTCAGGGCTCCCGTGCCCAACAGCTGACCCTGAAGAAAGCAATATCCCGTTACAGAGAAATCATAAAAAATCAATCACCAGCATTTCTGCAAGGCTTCTCTCTGGGTTTATAGAGGTCTGTGGGGGAAGGCTTGCTATCAGTTTCAGCATGGAGAGTAGCTCTTCTCTTTTTCCTACTATATCCAGGGACAGCATCAGACAGCAAAACAGTGAGAGTCTGAGCAATCATAAAATACTGCAGCATGACCAGTTCCATTAGAGATCCCAGGGTATAAACAACTGCACTGAAGCACTTGGGCAGAGAGCTCCAGTGCCCAGGCATAGTCATGGCCACATCATACTACCCTAGATCCTATTTTTGAGTATTAACCCTGTCTAACTGCCTTTTAAAGGGGGAAATTCTAACACAGAAAGCAACAATGACATTTTAATGTCTTTGAGACATTAGACTTACAAGCATGCAAGTCTTGGAGCTACAGCCTGTCCTGCAAAAAGAAGGTGAAAACCTTGAGTTACTGGCACTGGTAAGAACTGGAAACCCCTGAGCTGAAAACACAGCCAAACACAGGGACTCCTGACAAACAGGATTGTCTGCAAAGCTCTTTGCAAATCTATGTATGCAGGAGGCTGGGCTGCTGGTGTTTTATTCACAAGACTTCAATGGAGCTTGAGTATCTGGAAGTCAGCCAGCCTTAGCTGAGCAGGGCAAACAGATTTATGAAAGGTAACACACATACTAAAAGGAATCATTGCAGCTACTCACACACCACTGAGCTCTACACCGAGCACAGTCCTGACTACTGCAGATCCTCACTCCTTGCTCACTTCACAGCAGCAGCCACCAACACAAAAAGCAACACAATGGAGATTAACAGGGAAAAGGTTTTTCTTCACAAGCAGAATAATTTCTGATGTAATTTTATACAAATTGTTCAGGAACTCACAGGTTGGAAAAGCTAAACAGTACTTTCAGAAGAGAAGAGTGTCTGGAGTTAGGTTAAACTGAAATACACTGTGGTTCCTACTGTTACCAGCAATGTGAAACCTTCTAAAAAACCCAGTATAGTTTTACAGGAGATTAATGATGTTCACTCTTCTTTAAATACACACAGAGGTCAATTTTACTTGTACTTCCATAGCTGAACATTCATCTGTCAACACAGAGATACCACTACCTCTGGAACATGTCCCACCAAGAACCACCTATTTGTGAAACACTCAGCACCTGCCTCAGCAATGAAAGACACCACTGGCTACCCTTGGGAGGGCTCTGGTGAGACACTGTCATCACCTGCCCAGGACTTGCTGTCAGATGCACTTATATCCTGCTAAAGCCCTGTTTGGGCCATGCAGGGATCAAGAGCCTAGCAAGGAAGGGACCAGATGAGCACTCAGCTCCCAGCAGAGATTGCTTAGTAAGGCAGGGAGCAACAGGAGAATATCAGCATCCAAGTACAAAGTCAATGGGATCAATGCAGGAGAGCTGTGCAGCAGGCAGAGGCTGTAGCAGGAGTCTAAGGCACAAAAAAACCTCTTGCTCTCATTCCACTGCATCACTTCCAGAGGGAGATGCCAAGATTTGCTGGTACACCTGAAAGGCCCTGCCAAGATCTGGGTGTAACACCAAACACAGTGCCAGAAAACTGCACCAAATCCTGCCAGACAGGGAGAAGCAAGTCAGGAGCCTGCAGTGCAAAGAAGAGATAACAAACCTCCATCACTGAGCTCCTGATTCACAACAGGGACCCTCCCTGCTTAGCTCAAGAGTCATACTTGGTGATACCAGTTCTTTTAATCCTGCACAATTCCAGCTTCTCTCCATCTCCCACAAACCTTGGCTCAAAGAATGAGATCAGGATAGTATGTGCCATGATTTGTTGCAGAGGTTCTGCTGTTAGCCAAGCAACACTGCTGGAAGCTGTGTGCCAGAGCACTTCCCTGCTGTCCAGCCCCATCCTCAGACCTCAAAGCCAAGCCTCCCAGGATTTGAAACATGGAGCAGGACTATGAAGAGGAGAAGCAGAGTCTTCTGGACAGTAGATC